ATTGACATCCTAATTAAGCAAATAAAATGAAACTGTTTGACCAAGAAAAGTCAAATTTGCAAATCAATTTTGAGACAGAGGTAGTATTATTTTTACTTTTTGGCCTATTTGTGAAGTTTCCCATTAAAAAAGATGTGTACCAAAACACACGAAATTAAGAAATGCACCAATAAAGTCATACCCTAATTTTAATTAATGTAGGAAAACTTACTGATAATTTTAATATATAGTTCAAGGTAGAATTGTCAATGTATACTGTTAGGGTAATTATTATGAGACCCTTAAATATGGGTTTGTGTTTTTTAAGTTAAGTCCATTAAAGCACTTAATCCCCTCTCTTTTACTTCTCACTTTGAATGTAATTTACAGCTTTTCTTTAGTACTCTTCTATCTTTTTTATTACTATTTTGACTTCTTTATCTATTCATATAAATAAAAATTCATACCTAATTGGACACTCACCGGGTTTGAAAAAAAATCATACCCAATTGAATTAATTTTATCCTCTATCTAGCTTTATTTTGATGTGTGAGAATGTTTTTTGTGGACTATTTGCAGTACCAGACCAGACCAGACTAGATCAGACCGGATCAGACCCAAACAGATCAAAGCAGATCAGACTTGAACAGTTACAAAATACACAGAGACCAGACTTTTATCAGATCATATCAGATCAGACCACACTTAAACAGACCTGACCAGCAAATTTCAGTCCAATTCAAAAGAAAACATCTTGAGTCTAATTTACCTCTTTTCTTTAGTCTTCCAGCTTTATCTAATCTCATAAATAAAATTCATACCTATAGTCTATAGACTTAGTTTTAGTTATTCTCACAATCTCACGTTATCTTTCTTGTAAGATTCAAATTATCATTTCCCCAAGAATTCGATAATAGACGTGGATTTAAATGAAGATTTCTTTGTAGGAACGCTCGTCAATCCCAAAAATGGATAAAGTACTTAAAAGGGTACTTAATCTTAATATGAAGTTAGCCTAAAAAGTTAATTAATCTTGTACAAGTAGCACCCCACATCTTATATAGTAGTCTAATACTATCTCCGTCCCTTTTTAGTCAGTCGTGTTTGACTTTTTAGTCAATGATAATAAATTTTGACCAATCATTTTAATTAGTATTTTTTTTAAATTATTCTCCTTGTATAACATGATTGGAAATTAAATGACAAATAAAATCGACTAATTATAAAAGGCGACAGACGGAGTATTTTATACTTGTACACAGTTTCCATACATATCTTATGCACACTTCTGTCAGAACGCTATTTTTTGTCTGCGAATGATTGATGAGATTCACAGACATGTTTTATTGTGAACGGGATTCACAGTCAAACAAATAGCGGTATCACGAGGAGTGTATAATGTGTGTATAAGAAAGTATGTAAAAGTACAAATAAATTTTTTGATATATGATACACTCATACACATATTTCAACATTTGTTTTACTCGACGTAGCTATTTAGAAATTAATCATAGAAATTAGTTCAAATAGGACTAAAACTATGGCAAAAACCTAAAATAGGACTTGTTATGTTTTTATTCCAAAATAGGACCATATGAGTCCTATTGGAAACATACCTATTTTTGCATTCCATTCTTACCCTTCCATTAAATATAAATTAAAAATAGTCAAAAGCCATAATTAAATGTTTAATTCATAATAAATTCGAAAAAAATCAAAAATTCGTAGAAATATAATTAAAAAATTTATAAAATTTTTATAAAATAAAAAATTCAAAAACTTTTTTTTTAAATAGTTTTATTTTTAAAAAAATTAATAAAAAATAGTAAAATCCGTAAAAAAAATTAAAAAAAATATGGATGCCTTTCCCACCGCCTGTACTACCTCCCAGCACCACCACCTCCGGCCGATGAAAAAAATGCAATTTTCCCAGAAAAATGCCATTTTTTCCTGAAAATGCCAAAAAAGTGGCATATTTCTCTTTTCGAATGCCAACATTTTCATTTTTTTCTGCCATAAATATGGCATTCGTAATGAACTTGGCATTTTTTTCCCCTGGTGACTGGAGGTGGTGGTGCTGAGGCGGCAGAGGCGGCGGCGATTTTTTTTTTTGAGTTTTTTTTTTGATTTTTTTTAATTTTTTTAATTTTTTGAAAAAAAATTAATTAAATTTTTAATATCGAAATGTTTTTCTTAATTTTTTAGTATTTTTTACGAATTATTATTATTTTTTATTATTTTATTAGGAATTAAATCATTTTAATAGCTATAAGGGTATAATTGTCCAAGGTACACATAATTAGTCCTATGCAAACATATTTCATTTTTTGGTCCTATTTGTGAAAAGTGAATGACTTTTAGTCCTATTTTGATAATTAACTCAATTAATCATTGTAGTCATCAAAGGTTCTCCTAAACAATACGGAGTAGAGAATTGAATATACTCCGTACTGTGTAAAAATGTGAATCCAATCCCGGCGTGTTAAACTAATCACGGCGTATATCCCGGGTTCTCGCACTAATTAATTAACCTATTTAACCCCGTCCACTTTGGTACAAATTTTCATCCGCGTCCACTGGTAAATTCGATCCTGCCCTTAGCTTCATCATCCAGTCTTTAATTAATAGTAATAATAATTACCCCGTAGAATTAAGCTAAGAGTTAATTTGGGAGGTAATTAAAATGTCAAATCCTGTGTTAGCTGGTTTTCTCCTCTCCTCAGCTCTTCTAATTCCGTTCCTCGTATCATCATCGTCCGTTGTTCAAGACCCTTATTCTGTGGTACAAGATGTAAACAGGTAGGTACACACACTACATATTAATTATTACATTTATTTACATAATTAAAAAAACTGCTAATTAACCTGACTAGTTTATATAAGCATTCGTATTGATATATACCGAGTATCATGTGTTCATGTTATACTCAACGTAATTTCATTGTTCGGTTTTTAATGATTAATTAATGGCTCATTTGGTGTTTTTTGTTGTGTAAATAGATCAGAATGCTAACTATGAAGGATAACTATACAAAAATATATTGATTTACGAAAACTGTAAAAAAAGATCATTATTCCATAAGTTCTTGATGAAAACCTTTTTGTTTGAAGGATTGATCATAACCTTAAAGGTTTTAGTTAGTACCCTTATTTGAATACATATATAAAACAAATTTTAGAAAATTATGATTTTTGCTTTAGGCCGGCTACTATTTTCAAAGCTGGATGTGAATTGAATTGTTTTGATCTACACTCTAATATAATAGTAGTACAACATATGTATGCCGTTTAATTTTTTGATTTTTTCGTGAATATGTAGTAGTGCTAATTGCTAAATAAGTACGGAGTATCGAAGATTTAATTGTTGTGATTTTTGAAGATTTGTTTTAGGGAACACGAGCAATGCAAAGAAAAACATATATAATTCCTCAAATAGAAGTTAAATTAATTTTTACACTCGGAAATTTTTACTAGTATTATTTTATTATTTCATATTTAAATAGGAGTAGATAAGTCTCAATTTATTTTGTTTCTCATTTATTGGCATTCAATTAAGAAATAATTACATAAATATGAGCAAAATAAAGATGATTTACAAAAATATGACTAATGACTAGAGTAGTAATGAAATCATATTAATTCATATTTAAGTTTTGAGCTTAAGTTACCACAACACCACATTGTAGTAATGAATAGTCATATTTATGTAAATATATTTTATTTTAGTAATATTCTTGTAAAAAACTCGAATTAAAGAATGTATTGTAATTAATGTTTATTATTATATGAATTAAATGCATGATGATGAGTATATACATGTAACTAATGAAATGAATGAGGAGAAAATTTTCTAAACAAGACTAAAATAATGATAAAGTTTATAAATAGAACTATCAATATTTTATTCTCAAAAATATTACTCATTCATTCCTATTCCTATTTTGGGAAGATTGAATCAAGTCATTCTTTTAACACGACTAAATAGGTCTTGTTTGAAAAAACAAACATATTTAGTTCAATTTGTTCATTTGAGTCTAATTTTTGTCCTATAGACAACAACTAATAATAAATATAAGGAAAAGGTCCCGAAATAGGACTATAACAATTTGAAAATTCCAAAATAGAACTGTCATGTTTTTTATTCCCAAAATATGAGTAATTACTGTCAAGTTTAAAAAATACTCCTAAAACGTGACAATAATTAGTCCTATTTTAAGAATAAAAATATTTCAATCCTATGTTAATATTCTCTAAATATAAATGATGCATGGATGATATAGGGGGAAGATGAATGGCGACACATCTGCAAAGCTAAAGGGTCGGGCCATTACAGTGGTGCTTACCTGAACCCGATCGACAGGTGCCTGAATTACCCGGACTGGGAGAAGAATAGGCAGGCGATGGCGAACTGCCCAGTGGGATTTGGCAAAGACGCTGTTGGCGGGAGAGATGGGGTGATTTACAATGTGACGACGGCGAGCGACGAAAACCCGGACAACCCGGAGTTCGGGACACTCAGGTACGGCGTGATCATGAACGGGCCGAAGTGGATAATCTTCGAAAGGGACATGGTGATCCGCCTGAAGAAAGACCTGGTGATCACGCAGTCGTTCACGACCATCGACGGCAGAGGCGCCAACGTGAAGATCACGGCGGGGCCGTGCATCAGCATCCACCGCACCACCAACATCATCCTCTCCCATCTGCAAATATACGGGTGTGTGGCGGGCGGGAACACCCGCATCAGAGACTCCCATGACCACATCGGGTGGTGGAAGAAGACTGATGGCGACGGCATCTCCATCTTCTCCTCCCAGCACATCTGGGTGGACCACTGCGCCCTGTCCGACTGCGCGGACGGCCTCGTGGACGCCATTCACGGTTCCACCGCCATCACCATCTCCAACAGCTACTTCACTAACCATAACAAAGTCATGCTCTTGGGTCACTCCGATGCCTTCACCGAGGACAAGGACATGCAGGTCACCGTGGCCTATAACCATTTCGGGGAGGGGCTCACCCAGAGAATGCCGAGGGGCAGGCATGGCTATTTCCACGTGGTCAACAACGAGTACATACGCTGGGCCGAGTACACCATGGGCGGCAGCGCCAGCCCTACTATCAATAGCCAAGGCAACCGCTTTGTTGCACCCGATGCCGAACGTTTAAAAAAGGTACATATCAATGTGTTAAAAATTACATTAAATGGTCATTTTGGGGCAATTATTTGAGTGGGGATCACTTCCGATTTGGGTCGGATCAAAGTGGTTTCGGATTGTTCTTGTTAAGGGCTACAATTCAATATGTGGTACACTCAAAACGGATAACGGGTGAATCAGAAATTGATTCTCGAAGTTCACTCGTTGAAATGGAAAAACTGGGTAAAGATGAGTTTCTAGTGTGTTTTATACCACACCGGAAAACTCAAGGGATTTTCACCCCCTTATAAAGGGAAGCCTCTTTTAAGGAGTTAAGATTCCTTAAGGTAAAAGCTCTCTCTCGCAGGGGGGGTGCCGATCGAATCCCGAAACGGAGAAGAAAAACCGCGACTCGTGTGCGCGGGCGACCAGTGAACACGAATGCCGTCCGAAAAATCTATCATTCAAAGATACGATATCAATGGACAGTTTATGGACAGAAGACCTCAAAGGCTCTCTGTTGGCTTCCGGACAGAAGGCCTTGAGATGTTCTGTTGGGGTCTTCTGGTCCGTTACAGCAATAACTGCCCAACGTTCTTGTCTTTTAATGCTGCATTAAATGGACAGTTTATGGATGATTCAATGCCCAACGGACTGGTCATTGATGTCCAACGTTCAGGTCCATTAACACCCATTTAACACACAACAAATCCTCCTATAAATAGCTGATAGGTGGTTTGCAACAAACACACGTTCAGACACAACACACAATACATTACTCACGTATTTTTGAGCTCTAAAACACTTCCAACTACTCCGAAAATTCCTAAGTGTTCTGCCTTTGTTCCCGTTCGCCGGAACTCTCGTTTGTGTGCTCAAACGTTAGTTCGTTAGCCACCGTATCCTGGGAAACGGACGTTGAAACGCTCCTAGCACCGTGTGAGGCGACGAATACATTTTAAGGACATCGTGCGTATCATGAACTCTGGCTAAACTCTGTTCCATCTTATCTCTGTTTTTCTTTAACTATTTAAATTAAATAATTAGTTTTATTAATTAATATTTATTCGTTTTTTCGAGACACACACCCGACACGTGTATATATACAACGTCCCGGCCATTTGAATCGGTCGTTTTTGACTTTTCTGATCTGATGCATTGCAGGTGACAAAGCGCGACGTGTCAGACAATGTTGATACGAGTGGTTGGAACTGGAGAACAAAAGGGGACGTGATGGAAAACGGTGCATATTTTAATGCGTCTGGGAAACAAGGTGAGTCTACATACTCAAAGGCTTCCAGCGTCATAGTCATGCCGTTTTCCACTTCTCTCACCCAAAATGCTGGTACTCCCCACTGCAATCAGCGAAACTGCAACTAGCTACCTACCTACGGCTAGCTGCAACTATGTATTACGAGTCTTAGTTTATACTCCTATATAAACTATGTATATTATACACCAAATATTCCGTTTATACATCTTCTTATACACATCATACACATCAATACACCCTCGTGTCTCTAAGAGTTTTTTTTGTCTGTGAATCCCAGTCCACGGACAAAAACATGTTTTTTTTGTCTGTGAAAAATTCTACAGACCCTCGTGTCTGTGAGAATTTTTTTTGTCTGTGAATCCCAGTCCACGGACAAAACAGACTTGTTTTGTCTGTAGAATTTTTCACAGACAAAAAACAAGCATGTTTTTGTCCGTGGACTAGGATTCACAGACAAAAAAACTCTCACAGACACGAGTGTGTACTGATATGTATAAGAAGGTGTACACCATGTCCACTTTCTGTAACACTTTACCAACTAAGTATACTCTCTCATTTTCCTAAATTATCTATAAGCTCTCACTTTTACCTACTTATCCGCACTAATATAATGGGGCGTCCCAAAATAGCTGGAATTTGAAAGTTTTTTTTAAAGGAGAATAGAATCTATGGGTAATGGATTTTAATTGAAATTGGATGGTTCTATACTATAACATTCTATTGTTAAGCTAAGTATACGCAGATATGTTGTTAGAACCGGCAGATAATTAATACTATGTACGGAGTATAAGGGTATGAAAATGGCTCGAGACCGGATATCACTTTTAATCACGAAAAATTTACGTTTTCCTAAAAGTTAAAAATCTAACCCTTATGACAGTAACCGGGTTACGAGATAAAACTTTTGGCTCGTGGTTCAACACATATATACTATTTTGTGCTAAACCGTTGCAAGACTTTTCATTTGTTTGTGATGTTCCAAAGAATGTAATGCTTCACTTTGGAGAGGTGTCTTTTAGTACTACGTATTAATTAATTGATTTTAATAATTACGTAACGCATCACCAAACATCCCATACTCTAGCATTATTTTACCATACATATATTATTTTAATTAATCTTCACCGCATATAATTAAAACAAGGGAAAATGAGCAAATAAGGCCACATACTAACCAAAAAAGGTCAAATAAGGCCTTATTTATGAGGCTCTGTCCGGCCTTCGCCATTTGGGGTGGTTCTCGGTGGAATTTTTTGATTACTTTTTTTGACCATCTTATTCATTAAGTCTAGTTTGCTCATACCAAATTTCAGATAAAAGTTTAATCGAGAAGGCATTCAAATGAATTATTGAAGATAACTGCGCTTTTAACTGCGCAATTATCTTCAAGAATTCATTTGAATGGCTTCCCGATTGAAGTTTTAGCTTAAATTTGGTATGAGTAAACTAGACTTACTGAATAATATGCTCAAAAAATTTCATTAAAGAATTCCACCGAGAACCAATCCAAATGGCGAAGGCCGGACAGAGTCTCATAAATAAGGCCTTATTTGACCTTTTTTTTGTTAGTACGTGGCCTTATTTGCCCCTTTTCCCTTAAAACAATATTATAAGGATCGTGTTGAAAACTTGAGCATTATTTTCAATAAATTTTCAACAATCCTCCTCCTTTTATTGAAAATATATAACATGCTCAATTCTTTCCAAATAGACTATTTATGCATAATTGAAAGTGTTTTAAAGATTGAACTTTCATTTAGTGCAATATTTTTTACAATATTTCAAATCATAATAGTAGACTAAGCTTTGAACTATATAATTGTTGGATAATTGATACCCATATTGTATAAACTAGGAGATATTGAACAGGAAGAAGAAGATAATGTATAGAATGGATGAAAATGGTTTCTATGACTTATTGTTTACAAGCCTCCTATAAGGAGTATATATAGGGAAATCCGGGTCTGGGCGTCTAATATGGGCCTGACAGACCCGGTTACATAAATGGACTGATAGTACAAAAAACTAATCTAGAACATCTGAACAATAATAATGTACAATAATATGAATGATATCCGCTAAATGTGTGTGGGTCGCTGTCCAGGCCCAGTAGTCGACAGACCGAGGGGTCGGAGTCCATATACTCCATCAGGAGTCCTCCACTCCCTGAGTCTAGAGTACTCGAGGTGAAAGGGAGTAGTTCAAACTGTATCTGCAACGTTCTTCTGTCTTTGATTTCTTCCTCTCCGGCCGGGGACCACCACCCTTGTCCATGATGGGGAGGTGCCTCGTTAAAAACCTCATTAGGAAAAACCCTGTGGGAAAAAATCCTAATGAGGGAAAAAGAGTACACCTAGCGCCCCCAACATGAAACAAGGAAGGTACGTTCCCTCCGGCATAATCAATTTTGTCTAGCTCAGCTCCTCTTCAACCGACTCAACTTTCATTCCTGCTCATGCGTGATACTCCGCCTCCAGCTTCCACCGCGACTGGGAAGCTGTTGCGGTTGGGAGCTCCAGTGTCGATGCGAATTTTGGAGCCGACCTGGTTCCGGAAGAGAACAACGGCGCAAGGCGAGCTCTAACAGCACGAGGGTTCCGGCGGATCTATGGAAATCCAGATCTAGAAGTTGCAGATCCTCTCTGGCTGGCGAGATTTGTGGCATCGGTGGCCTGCCGGTGGCGGCGATGCGAGACCAGAAGGGTTTGCGGTGACCCCCTGAGACACGGCGGCTCGGTGACGGTTGCTCCGGCCAGGTCTAGGATAGGTCGGAAAAGTGAAAGGTGGGGTCGTCGATGGTCTGGAAGCACCATCGCCCCTTGTCACTGCTCTCGTTGGAGAGTGAAAGAGGAATCATCGGAACCGCTGCTGCTCGGGTCACTTCTGGCGAGGTCGGATCTCTGGAACGAGCCCTCCGTTTGACTACAGAAACGAGCCCAGCCGGCTCCTCAAGAAGTTTAGTATGGTGGTGCGAACTGGATGCTGACGTCTTAGCGACGGATGACGGAAGCAACAACACCAGCTTTGCTGGTGGCGATGTCTACATATGCGGCGACAGGTGAGCTCTAGGGCGGTGACGAGGTCTGAGATCTGGAGCCGTACCCACGACAGTGGGTGGTTCTTGCTGCTCCAATTCCCCAGAATGCAGATTCATTTTTCACCTTTTTTTCTTTTGATTTTCGAGAACAACTTTTTCTGGAATTTTTGTGATTTGGATGATTTTTGTTGTATTTTTTGGGAGGTTTTCTTACTTGGTGTGTTCAAACCTGTCAATGAGAGCACCATTGTTGGATAATTGATACCCATATTGTATAAACTAGGATAGATTAAACAGGAAGAAGAAGATAATGTATAGATTGGATGAAAATGGTTTCTATGACTTATTGTTTACAAGCCTCCTATAAGGAGTATATATAGGGAAATCCGGGTCTGGGCGTCTAATATGGGCCTGACAGACCCGGTTACATAAATGGACTGATAGTACAAAAAACTAATCTAGAACATCTCAACAATAATAATAATGTACAATAATATGTATGATATCCGCTAAACGTGTGTGGGCCGCTATCCAGGCCCAATAGTCGACATATCGGGGGGTCGGAGTCCATATACTCCATCAATAACCACTTTGAAATATCAAAGATATTACACACATAAACCTTTATACAATTTCACTTAGAAACTTGACACTATTAACAACCTTGTGTCCATATCCATTAATGAGCTCCAACAAGTCAAGCCTTACTTGGTGAATCAGCCGCCATTCTAGCTCACACAGGCAGGTCTTTTCAAACTGTGTTCTGCAATCAAACACTTTATCAAAAGATCTATTAAGACATAGTCAACCTCATAACACATTGCAGACTCAAGCACTTGCCTTGGGATGATTATTATTTAAAAGTGCTCCAATCACGGAGTGACGTAGTCATCGTCATTGAACTCAAGATCTAGCAGTGTACTAGACGTTGAGTTGAGATTTCTTTCACTTGTGATTATATTCCAAGGGCTTTAAACTCATCCCCTTTGCAGTTTTGTACACCATGTCATTTGGCATCGCTTTTGTAAAAGGATCCGCCAAGTTCACATGTGATCGTACAAAATCAATCACAACAACTCCAGAACAAATAAGTTCCCGCACATAGCTTTGTCTCCTCCTACGTGTCTTGACTTACCATTGTAAACATGGTTGTAAGGTTTTGATAGATTTGATGCACTATCACAACGAATTGATATTGGAGCCATAGCTAGGTTTAGGCCATACCGCGATTTCTGTTACCAAATCCTTTAGTCATTCTGCTTCTTTACAAGCTAATGTTAATGCTATAAACTCGGATGTCATTAGAGTCTGTGATACAAGTTTGTTTCTTAGATGCCCAAGATATAGCACCTCCTCCAAGAAGGAATAACCACCCTTTGTGGATGAATAATCCTCTTGATGAGTTATTCAACTTGCATCTGTATAACCTTCTAATATAGAAGGTTCACTCTTGTAACATAAGTCGCAGCTCATTGTTCTGTAACCGGCTTACGCCGAAGAGCTCGTTTTATCTTGAGGAAAGGTTTTCGCTAGTCAGAAATACTTTCTTGAGGACAGCATTTACGCGACTCGAGCTATATTATCTTCTAACGTTTTTTGCAGGTTTATCCGGCCAATTTCCACCAGCGGGAACATCTTCTTTTTGTCCTTTGTATATGGGAAATGTTTAGTGTGGGAAAGAAGGGAAGCTTTGGGACTCTCTCAACACTGGTTCTTAGGTCATTGGTGATGATTTCAATGTTATCACATCTTATGAGGAACACAAGGGTAATTCTATACCTAATTATGATAGCATGGAAGATTTTAATAATTGTTTGGCTCATTGTGAACTATCTGATTTACCTTGGGTGGGAAGCCAAGTTACTTGGACTGGGATGTGGAGAAATGGCAGGGCCTTGAGAAGGCTGGACACCTGATTTCCAAGACTTGTTTGGTAATATCCATATTCAACACCTAAATATTAAAATCTTCATCTCACCATTCCCGTATTCTTTTCAAATGCAAATCTAATCACAGTTCTAGGCCTAATCCTTTTAGATTTCAAAATATGTGGACTAGTCATCCTAACTTCAAGGAACTGGTGAGTAAAAGCTGGGAGGCTTGTAACTATGGGAGAGGGATGAGAGGTTTATTCCTCAAACTGAAAAATCTCAAAAGGGATCTTAGGGAGTGGAATTTTGTGATATTTAATAATATTTTTGAAAGGATAAGAAGATGTGAGCTTAGTGTAGAAGATGTTGAAAAAAGGTTTGAGCTTCAAGCTATTGAAGGAAATAGGGCTGAATGGCACAAAGCCCAAGCAGAACTCATTCTTGCATTACAAACAGAAAAAGCAATTTTGGAAGCAAATGGTAGGATTAAGTGGCGTAAAGGAGGGGACAGTAACACAAAAGCTTTCCATAATTTTTGTGAAAGGCAGATATAAAAAACAGATTATTTCATCTATTCAGAAAGAAGATGGCACCTGGGTTACTGATCTTGGTCAAATTTCTCTCCATCTGCTCCTGATTCAGATCATATACTCAATTACATTCAAAAACTTCTCAATCAGGAGGATAATGATATGTTAACTAAGTCCCCTAGTGCAGTGGAAGTTAAAGAAGGAGTCTGGCAACTTAACCATAACAGTGCAGCTGGGCCTGATGATTTCAATGTGAATTTTTTTAGGTCTTGTTGGGATGTGGTGAAGGAGGATGTTATTTCTATTGTTCAGGACTTCTTTTTTTGTACACCTATTCCTAAAGCCATGGGAAGCACAAACATTGTTCTAATCCCTAAATCTTACAGACCTAAAAATCTTACAGAATTCACGCCAAATTTGTTTATCTACTTTTGTTAATAAGGTCTGCACCAGAGTGTTGACTTCAAGGCTCAGTTTTATTCTTCCAAAGATCATTTCAAAGGAACAGACTAGTTTTCTTCAGAACATAGACATTAATGGGCATATTCTCTTGGCTCAGGAATTGATGTGTGTGCTTGATAAAAAGGTAAGAGGTGGTAACATTGCTATTAAACTAGATACGGCCAAGGCATTTGATAAAGTTTCTTGATCCTTTTTGAAGACTGTTTTATTATGAACAATCTTAGAGCTACTCACATGTCTGTTATGGTGAATGGTACATCATACGGTTTTTGAGAAAAGGGTCCAATAAGACCTTCTACTATTATGAAATAGTCACATAAGGCCATGTACTCAATAAAGTGTCATATAAGTACCTCTACTTGTATAAAGCAATCAAATGAGTCCTAACGACTTATTTAACACCTCATAATCCTGATGTTAGCCTACATGTTGATTTTTTTGACTTGTGTTTCAACCAATCTTAGTTAAATATTCGACATATGCCGTATAATGTATTCTAAAAAGATTGTCAGAAGTACGTTGAAATCGGGATTAAGAGGTGTTAAATAGGTCATTAGGATTCATTTGATTGCTTTTTACAAGTAGAGATACTTATATGACACTTTATTAAGTACATGGCTTTATGTGACTGTTTCATAATAGTAGAAGACCTTATTTGATCTTTTTCTCTATGGTTTTTTTATCCAAAAAGGGGACTAAAGCATGAAGATCCTCTCTCCCCTTACCTGTTCATTATAGCCTCGGAGGTTTTCTCTAGAGGCCTGAATCACTTGATAAATGAAGGCAGAATCTCACCTTTTTTGGTCAGTCGTGGAGCTCCCATTATCACTCATTTGGGTTATGCGATGATCTTCTCCTCTTCTTGAATGGTGGAGCCATATCCCTTATGAATTTCAAGCAGTTTCTAGTTTATATCAACAAGTTTCTGGGCAAACTGTTAACTGCATCAAGAGTCAAATAATCGTTGGAAACAAGTTCTTAGAAAACAGAATTGAGCAGATAGAAGAGCTTCTTGGTATGAAATGTTCAAAACTTCCCATTAAATATCTTGGTGTCTATCTTCACGAGGGTATTAATAGATTCAGGTTCTGTAAAGACCTGATTAAGTCGATTGATAAGCATCTATCTAACTGGAGGAAGAAGGCCCTCTCTCAGAGTGGAAGACTTATACTAATAAAACATGTCCTAGCCTCTATACCTATTCATATTATGGCAGTCTCTAAGCTCACTCAAGGTGTGATCAAAACTTTGGAGAGGAAATTTGCTTCTTTTTTCTGGGGTAATCATGAGGGAACTAATAAATTCCACTGGATGAGCTGGAAGAAGATCTGTTACCCTTATGAAGAAGGTGGTCTAGGAGTCAGGTCTCTGGAAGAGATTCAATCAGCCTTTTCCCTTAAAATTTGGTGGAATTGGTAAAAAAAAGCAACACTCTGGACTAACTACATGCATGCCAGATATCCTAGAGGGTCTGATATGAGAGCTAAATTACCCGATTCAGCAATATGGAAAGGCATATGTTAGACACATGTTCAGGGCTTGAATTTAGTGGAGATCCAAAATGGTTGCATAGTTTGGAAGCCCTCTCTTGATTGCAGCTTCACATTGTCATATGCATTTCAAGAAGTAAAGAGCCAAACAATCAGTCACTTTCTCCAATGATATATTATACTACAGATTTGGTGATTTACTTCAATGCTTTTAAAACATTTTCTCTTAACACAATAAACTTATCACAACATGCATTTAAACTAACTTAAATTAAAGAAAAAATTAAATACCTTAACGATAAATAAAATCAAAACTAAATGAATTATGATTAATTGTACAAATGACAAAGATACATTGTGGATTTTGCATCCAAAGAGAAATATTAGCGAACATTTATAAATAATTGTGTTTAAGTAAATACATAATGACATACATTAATAAACAAAGGTGAATATATCATTACCAAAACAATTGTAGAAAAAGAACGATTGTTGTTCTACTTAATTTTGCTAAACTCTCTTTTGAGATTAGCAAAAGAGTGAACTAAATTCTTAAAAATAATAGGCACAATAATAAGAAAAGCATATTTAAGTCTACTTAATGATTCAAAGAAAAAATAGAAGTATGAAGAAACATTCAAAGAATGGCACAATGTATTGAAAAAATGAAGAGAAAATTAAAATAGATTAAAAAGAAATTAAAGAATAATCAGAATAAGATTAAACATGATTAAAGATTAAAGATACACTACAAGCAGAAAACGTAAAACAATGAAAAATTTAGAGGGGGCAATGACCCGATTTAGGAGACTCTTATAAAATGAAGAGGAAAAAAATTCGGCAGATATGATTGGATAGAAGACCTAATTAAGATTGAAGAGCTATTGTAGAATGCTAATTAAATTAGCATGAGTAATTTTTGAACAAAATTTATAATCAATGAGGGGGGATTGTAAGATAACCTAAGAGGTATATGAGTTTGACATTCCTAGGCATGACACTCCATTGATTTCTATTTGGGAATATAACATTCCCAAAATTACTCAAACCCGTGAACCAAACGTACACATTTCACATTTCGGGCATTAGGTTCCGGCATGCATGATGATTACACCGAACCAAACGTGCCCTAAAAGTGTCACCATTATAAAGGTAAAAAAGTTAAGGATGTTTATACTTAGACTAGTTTCAATCTCATACTAGAACATATCAAACTTAAATAGATCATACCAGATCTTAACAATTGTAAAATATAGAGAGATCAGACAGCTAGTAGAACATATCATATCCGTTCAGACCAAATGCACCAGACATAAACATACCAGACCAGATTATACCAAACTAAAAATATTCAATCCAAATAAAAACATATAAATATGAAAATTTTCAAAGACATTTTTTTTCAGACCCAAAGGGGTTAAATCACCCATCGTTGGGGCAAAAGCCGGGGAACATTTGCCAAGTTCTATTAATGACAAAAAATATATATGGGAGGGGCAAACAAAAACCTCTCGCAGAAGGCATTCCTCCTCAAAATACACGAGTATGACCAAAAGTCTCTTTCTCTCAATAGTCGAATGACTAAAATTGAATAAATTGAAAGTCAAATATTAAAAGTGTCAATAACATAATAGGCGGATCTAGAACTAAATGTGACAAAACTTGAGTTAGATATACAAGTCAATTGACTCGTGTGTTGTATCGTTTTTAAACCAAGTATTGTGCTGTAAATCTGTAATCATATCAAGAAATACAAGAAGGTGCATGTGCATGTAAAGGACATATATAGTCTAATTCTAACTGTGTAGTTTGGTCACTTTGGTGCATGCATGATATGATGACCATTTCTTTTTACTTTTTTATTTTAATCTTTCATAAACTAAATATTTTCAAGGGGATGAGCGAGCAGAGAAGTCCAGGTTCCGTCCAATTCATCAACATTTTGCTTGTCATCATCTTCCTTGTAACTACCACCAGACCTCAAGCAGGTTGTAGAAGCCCGCATGGATGAATGGTTATGGAGATGAGGATGAGCGCTAAAGGAAAGATCGTGATCATCATTATCTATCATACAATGTCCGCTAAACAAGTCATCGAATTCAGCGCGTCTTTCACAGTCGCCATCATAATTATCGTCGTAACCATAATACCCTCTCATGGAAGCACCGCCCTCTTTGATCCACGGAAAATCGAACACGCCGGCCTCGACATCCAACGAGAACACATCGTTGTTTACATCCGATGATGACGGCGACAACGTGAACTCATGCCCTTTTGTTTTGTTGTTTTTACACGATGACACGATCATTGTTAAAGCTTCCTCTTTTCTTCCTCTCTTCTTACTTCTCTGCCTTTCCATCATATCCCCAGATCCTTAATTAATTTCTCATGTGATAAGATGGAGATGCATAATATATGTTTAATAATTAATTTATATTTGTACTACGCATATTCGAATTAACAAAAGATCAAGATAAAATATCATGTCATTGCAAGGCATGCACACTCTTAATTGTGATTGTGTCGTTAAAAGCCACAAGTAGGTACGCAATTCTCGTTCCAATCTTCATATTAATTATCATTGCATTTATTAATGATAATTGTGTGGGTAACAAATTACGTACAAAAACTGGCATGCAAAAAAGTATCATTGGATTCATTGGTATATCATCTATATAAATAAGAAAATTAGCCAAGTACAATTATCTAATTCTCCATGTTTTAAATTTATTGTAACGATCTTTGATTCCTTCATAAATCAATTATATAGTTTTGTACGTAATTTGTTTTCCTCATAATTTAAATCATGTGATTCCCCAATAGGGGTAGGTTCGGTTCTTTCGGTTCGGTTTTGACCTAAAACCAAACACGGAACCAAATTAAAAGTTCGGTTCGGTTTCAGTTCGGTTTTACACTCCAAAACTTCAAATAAACCACGGTTTGATTGGTTCGGTTTGTTTCGGTTCCGTTTCGAATTTTTCGATTTTTTTACTAAATATTTGTCATTTAATTTAAAATTGATATAAAAGTTGGAGGGATCAAACATATTACATAAAAATGCAAGCATACTTGAACAAATAAAGAAAATAATAATAAACAAATATGTCTTGAATTATATGAGTATGCGGGAGAGATAAAAGTGTGTATATATTCTTAATTTACAATGTTTGTGACTAGTTTGAAAAACGTTTATGAATACATATGTCCTGTGTGATTTAGCCGAGATGAATATTTATTTGTTTTATCAATATAAAAAAGTTAAGTTACAAAAAAGAATTAAGTTACATAAAAATAAAAGTTAGTTACTACTAATAACTAGTAAAAACATATAATCATGCAACAAATTGCAACATACATACATACATAAAAGACATAATAGATCAATATAACTACATTATTATGGGCAATGAATGTGTAAATGTATTTATAAACTAAACTAAACATAGCATAAATATTATTTCTCTAGCACAACAAATTCAAAGATTATTGATGATATTAAAATTAATGCTTACATTTAACAAATACAATTTCATATTTTATTTATGTTCGGTTTGTTCGGTTCGGTTCGGTTTTGAAGGGTAAAAACCAAAACCGAACCAAACTACTACGGTTCGGTTCGGTTTTTTACATTCGGTTTTGGTTTTTAGCGGTTCGGTTTTATTTGGTCACGGTTCGGTTTAATTTGATTCGGTTTTCGGTTTTCGGTTTTTCGGACCCAACCCTACTCCCCAGTGTACCTTTAATTTTAATAAATACGGTGATTCATATGAAGAATACTACTCCCTCCGTTCCTATTTTATCTTCCAAATAGATTTGGCACACAATTTAAGATAGTGGGTATTATGTGGTGGAGAGTTGTGCAGAGGAGAGAGAAATGTGTAAGAAATGTTGTGAACCACAAATTCTTTACTAAAAAGGGAAAGTGGAAGTTTTAATTGGAACGAAGGAAAAAGGAAAGTTGGAAGTTTTAATAGGAACGGAGGGAGTATAATAATAGACACATATATAATGTGCGGTTAGTTGTCACTTTTCAAGAATGAAAGGGAGTGTGTATATCGTGCAACGGGTGCATGGTGCTCACCATGCACCTATTGAATATTATTTTCTCTTTTTTTAAAAATGGTAATAATTTTTTTATTTTTGATCTGATTTTTATAAAATTTATATCAACATTTTTTATTTTTCATTATCTTTCAAATGAGACCAATATTGCCTATGTAATTTTAACATATTAACATTTGCGTGTAAAATATGTAACTTTAAGTGTTAAAATATGTAACTCACGTTCAGTCAGGTCAAATGTAACTCGTGTGTATAAATATGTATCTCTACGTGTAACAATATGTAACTTTACGTAAAAAAATACTCCCTCCGTCCCTTGTAAGTTTGCCGACTTTCCTTTTTTGGATGTCCCACTAACTTTGCCACTTTCCTTTTTAAGTAAAGAATTTGTGGTTCCAGTTAATTTTCTCTTCTCTGCACAAACCTCAACCACACAGTTTTTACTTTATTAATCTCCGTGCCGGTCAAACTTGGCAAAGTTATTAGGGACGGAGGGAGTATGTAACTCGTGTTCAGACAGGTCACATGCAACTAAAAGAAATTTTACTGATTACTATTAATATATAATATTACTCCATACTATATACTACTAAAAGAAATTTAAAAATTTGGGGCTTCATAAATTCGAGGGTCCTGTTCTGAATACCCTATTGAACCCCCTAAAAAACGCCCCTGATGGAAAGGCACATAAGCAAGAAAAGAGGAAGAAAGGAGGACGCTTTACCAATGATCGTGTCCGTTAACAACAACAATAAAACAAAAAGGCTTGAGTTCACGTCATCTCACTCATCAGATGACAACAATAATAAGTTGTTATTGTGAGAATTTGGGAAAAAGTACTCCAATAGGAGTCCTGGTCTGAATATATATAATAAAAGAGTTTTAAACAGATTAGGAAATAAATATGCCTAATAATATTCTATTACACCCCCTCAAACTGTGCGGGAGATACAACGCGCAGGTTGTTCTTCAAAAAATGAAATTGTTGATTAGAAAGACTTTTAGTAAAAATATCAGCTAACTGCAGTTAAGTAGGCATGTACTTCACGACCAGGTCTCCATGAGCCACATGTTCTCGAACAAAATGGTAATCAATCTGGATGTGCTTGCTACGAGCATGCTGGACAGGATTGGCAGTCAAATATGATGCAGAGATGTTATCACAGAATAGCTGAACTGGAACGGTCACCGGAAATCCAAGCTCAAACAGAACCGAACGAATATGCAATGTATCCTGGACAGTATAAGTAACAGCTCTATACTCAGCTTCTGTAGAGGACTTAGACACGGTAGCCTGCTTCTTGGACTTCCATGAGACCAGATTAGGGCCCAAGAAAACTGCAAAACCAGTCGTAGAACGGGACGTGTCTGGGCAGCCTGCCCAATCTGCGTCTGAATAAGCAATCACACAGGAAGCCTGAGTGGTCGGCTGAAGCCACAATCCATGGTCAAGTGTTCCCTGCAAGTATCTAAAAATGCGCTTGACCGCAAACAAATGAGTAGTACGAGGGGCATGCATAAACTGAGACACTAAATGTACATCATAGGTAATATCAGGTCGTGTCAAAGTTAAATACTGTAACGCACCAACCATACTATGATACTCAGTGGCATCTGCAAGAAGCTCCCCATCAGTGAGGGATAAAGAGGTGCGAGTAGCAAGCGGAGTACGAACAAATTTAATGGTGTGGAGATGAAAACGAGAAAGAAGATCAGAAACATATTTATGCAGAGAAAGAAATGATCCTTTTGTGGAACGAACAGCCTGGACACCTAGAAAGTAGCTAAGATCACCAAGATCTTTCATAGCAAAGTGCTTAGCAACAAGCTGAATAAAGGAATTAACAGCAGTGGAAGAATTGCCAGTAATAATCATGTCATCTACATATAATAATAAATAAATAACATTATTATTCTGGCGATAAATAAATAATGAATTATCAGACTTGCTGCAATCAAAATGCTGAGTCAAAAGAAAGCTACTAAATCGGTGAAACCACGCTCGCGGGCTTGTTTAAGACCATAAATTGCTTTTCGCAATCTACATAAATGATTAGGAAACAAATATGCCTAATAATATTCTAGCGGACGGGGTGGGAAAAAGGTCAGTCGGAGACGAAGGAGGTATGGGCTCGGAGATGGATGACGGAGGTAGAGAGGATTGACTGGGGACTGGTGGTGGGGAACCTACGGCTAAGGGGGTATGTGGTTCGGGAATGGCAGAAACAGGGATAGTATTGTCGGAGCTATGAGGAAAGGAGGTGGTGTTTGTGAGAGTAAAATCAGTGATGAGAGGACTATTTTCAGAGGTAGGAGGACCTGTAGAGGAAGATAATGTGACATAAGGATAAATATTTTCATGAAAGCGAACATGCCGACTGATATAAACTTTACCAGACTTGGGATTGAAACAACGGTATCCTTTAAAACCAGATGCATAGCCAAGAAAAACACATTGTATAGAACGCGGAGAAAGCTTATTTGAAGAAGAGGCCGTAATGTGCAATAGACGATATTTAAATGTGCAGAATAAAAATTTAAACTCACATGTGAATTAGGTGAAACTGAAATGTGCAGAATAAGGCGTGCAAAAATAACATCACATCGTACCTTTTGATCTGCACATTTTAGTTTCATCAAATGCACATTTTAAATTCACCTAATTCACAATTTAGCTTCACATCATGCCACAACATCGTACCCTTTGTGTTGCACATTTCAATTTCACTTATTACACGTGACAACTTCATCTAATGCACATTGAATTTCACATAAAGCAATTCTAACGGTCCGGATTCATTCTCATTTTTCTCATAAGATCATGTTCTTATTCACACCAAAACTCATACACATAAACCAAAACATTTCAACCAAAAATACCCCCGGAACCACCTCAAATTGAGGTGGACGGACAGGAACTTTTGTCTCTCTCTCTCTCTCTCTCTCTATATATATATATATATATATATATATATATATATATATATATATATCTTCTCATTTGATCCTAATTCTATATATATATATATCTTCTCATTTGATCCTTATTCTATATATATATATATCTTCTCATTTGATCCTTATTATATATATATATATATCTGTGTGTATATATATATATATGTTTTAGTTCATATAAGAACATGATCTTAGGAGAGAAATGAAAATGAATTTGGACAGTTAGATTTGCTTTAAGTGAAATTCAATGTGCATTAGATGAAACTGTAATGTGCATTAGGTGAAATTGAAATGTGCAGCACAAAGGGTACCATACAATGACATTATGTGAAACTGAATTGTGCATTAGGTGAAATTGAAATGTGCACTAGGTGAAACTGAAAACGTGCATAATAAAAGGTAAGATGT